CTTCCCTTTTAGGCTGGACAGTGCTTCAATGAGTGCACAGCACACACCACCCCATGCCCACCCACTCTCCTGCAGATGGGGGCGGGGCAGGCAGTCAGGCTTCTACCTCTTGGCCATTAGGAGTGATGCTGCTGTGCACATGACTGAGTGAGGGTCTGGGACCCTGCTTTTAGTTCTTTGGGGCCTGTGCCCTGTGGTGGCTTTCTATATGTTATAGTTTGGATGTAAGGTGTCTTCCAGAAGCTCATGTGTGAGACAGTGCAAGAAGATTCAGAGGAGAAACAATTGGGTTATGAGAGTCTTAACCCAATCAGTGAATTAATTCCCTGACAGGGATTAACTGAGTGGAGCTGAGGTGGGTGAGGCTGGAGGAGGTGGGATTGGGATGGGGCTTTGGGGATATATTGGTATCTGGCGTATGGACTGTGTCTGTTTAATGATTACTATGATGGGAGCTGGTTCCTTCTGCCATACTTCCTTACCATGATGTTCAGCCTCACCTCGAGCCTTGAGAAATGGAGCCAGCCTTCTGTGGACTAAGACCTTTAAAACTGTGAGCCCCTGAATAAACCTTTTCTCTGCAGTTGTGCTGGTTGGGTCCTTGAATCACAGCAGTCAAAAAGCCGACTGAAACACAATTGCTGCTTCAGGGTGCCTGAGAAAGACAGCTTGAAGGGCAGGAGATCGGTTGTGGCTCGCGGTCTCCCAAGGTTTCAGTCCAGGGTGAGCTGGCCCCCGTTGCTTGACCTCAGGTGAGGCAGAATGTCAAGGCAGGAGTGTGCTACAGAGGAGGCTACTCACCCCATGTCTGCTGGGGCCCAGAGGGCAGGAGGAAGGGCCCGGGAGAAGGCACATCTTTCAGACTTGAACCTGTGGGCTGGCCTGCCTTAGCCAGCCAGGCCCCACCAACATTACCACTGTGCCCCGTGGGAGCAGACAGGAGCCTCGGGGATGTTCCAGATTTAGGCCACAGCATGGTCTGAAGCAGAGTTACCTGACCATGTGATCAGGGTTCTATTTTCATTCATTGATTCTTTTATTTTTTATGTTTTGTGGTACTGGGGATTGAACCAGGGCTGCTTTACCACTGAGCTGTATCAACAGCCCTTTTGAAAAGTTTTTGATATTTTGAGTTAGGGTCCTGCTAAGTTGCCCTGGCTGGCCTTGAACTTGGGTCCTCCTGCCCCAGCCTCTGGAGTCACTGGGATGACAGGTGTGCCCTGGTTTGTGGTGTTGGGATGGAACCAGGACCTTGCATATGGTGGGCAGGTGCACCCCACTGGACCACCCCCAGCCTGCTGTGCGCATCTGGTGTTTTAAAGATCCCTGTGCTGTTTTCCACAGTGGCCACCTGTCTTGCATTCCCGCCAGCACCACCTGAGGGGCTGTTTCTCCTTCTTGACAAGCTTGCTGTTTCTGTTTTCCCTTCCTTCTCAGCAAGGCAGTTGTCATGGCGTTGATGTGCATTTCCTGGTAGCTAGGGGTGAGGAGTGTTGTTCTGTGTGCTGTGGGCTTTGTCTGCCTTCATTGCAGAAATGCTTTTCTGAGGCCTTTTCCTGTTTCTGATTTTGCCACTGGTACTGCATATTCTGAGTTTTACCTCTAGCTGGATATTTGGTTTGAAACATCGCCCATTCCATAGGCTGCCTTGTCCACTGGTGCAACAGTGGACATTTTTTTTTTTTTAAAGTTGTTGATGAACCTGTATTTTCTTTCTTATATGTGATACTGAGAATTGAAACCAGTGCTTCACACATGCTAGGCAAGCGTTCTACCACTGAGCTGCATGCAGCCTTAACTCAATAGTGGCCATTTTGATCAATCCAGTTTCCTTCTGAGGCTTCAGAATTGTGTCTGAGAAGTCACTGAGAGGTTCATTCCATGTGGAGTTCTAAGCCCTAGCTCCAGGCAGGGTGTGGGTTAGTTAATGTCATGCCTGTTGTTGCCCACTTGGGAGGTTCCCATCTGAGACCTGGGGAGTCTTGGTGCACTGGAGCCCCTTCCCCAGCCTAGTCTGCACCTCAGGGTCTGTGGGCTGCGGGGCCAAGAGCATAAGCCGGCTTGGTGCCAAGATCTCGTGGTCAGGTGGGGACCTGCTGGGCTGCACAAGGAGTGCTGGTCACACCTTGGCCCTCACTTAGGTGCCTGCCCAGGCCAGGAAGTGTAAGCATTTTATATTAGAAAATACATCAAAACAAGCAAGTGCAGTTATCTTTGAGTTTCATTGTGTAACTATAACTGAAGACTTGGTGAGTTAATATGAAACAATATTTTATTATTTTTTTTCAATTGGGAATTTTAATTGATAAGCAGAAATTCTACATGTTTATAGTGTGCAGATGGTGTTTTTTTTTCCCCATTCATAGCAATCTTTATGAGCAATTAATCATAGTTCCACAAGAAACTACTTTAAGAGCAGGGTCCCCAGTGACCTACCATGATGTCTCAATACTTCTTTTTATTTTTTTTTTCTATTTATTCTAATTTGTTACATATGACAGCAGAATGCTTTAGGATTCATAGTACACATATAGATAATTTTTCATGTCTCTGGTTGTACACAAAATAGAATTAACACCATTTGTGTCTTCATATGTGTACTTGAGGTAATGATGTCTACCTCATTCCACCATCTTTCCTGCCTCCTCTCTCCCCTTCAGCTTGGTGTTTAGATGTGTGTATACATGGTGGAACAGCTAATTCAAGGTAATTAATACAGTACTTGGCATAGTGTTTTTTGTTTTTTTGGTAGTGCTAGGGATTGAACCCAAGGCTTACATTTAATTTAGGGTCAGTTGATCTAAGAAATTGTTTTAGTTGTAGATGGACACAATATTTTATTTACTTATTTTTGTGTGGTGCTGAGGATCAAGCCCAGTGCCTCACATGTGCTGAGCAAGCACCCTGCCACTGAACCACACCTACCCTGGTGTAGTCTTCTGTGGGGAGAACACTTTGTATTTCTAAGGTAACGGGAATGGGATGAAGGTTGTCCATTTATAATTAAATTTCATGAATCCGTAACTGGGAAGACTGGGATGTCTTTTGTTTTCACCTGGGCAGCCTGTATTCCAGCTGCAGTGGTCTGATTACTCTTTCCTTATTTATTCAGCACAGGCCTGTGGAGCCACCCCCAGTGCCAGAGTCTCTTTAGATGTGAGGGCCCTGGCAATGACTTGGCTGATAGCCCAGCTACTCCTGAGGTGGTACTGCTTGGGACTGCAGAGGGCAGAGTGGGTACCATTGTGGTGCCTATGGCATGGTTTTGGTCCCTCCCAGGAGACCTTCTACACCAGTCCTTGTCACTCGTCCCCAGCACTGCTGAGTTCTGTGTGCAGCACCCTGTTTGTTTCCATAGCACCCCAAGAGCATACTGGGCCTGGAGGGGTCAAGGAGCAGTGAAGGCCTCACCTGTGGCCAGGCCTACCAGGCCGTCATCCCCTTTGTCCTAGAGTCCCAGTCCTTGCTCAGCAGGAGGTTTTCTACCTACCCTGTCCTTTGATCTTAACAGCAAGCCACACAGGTGGGCAGTGCTACATCCTTCCCATTTTATAGTCCAGGAAGTGAAAGTTTCCTTAGCATTTTGAAATTACTGGAGGAGCAGGGGAACAAGCCCAGCTCAGTACTGAATCTAACGGTTTGAAGTTGGTAACAGCTTGGGTCTCATCTGAGAGAGGACACTGAACTCTGGGGAGAGTAGCTGAGATATAAGGGCCTGTGTGTCCCCAAGGCAGGACAAGGAGCATAGAGGAGGCTTAGTCCCCTGAGACTGGAGAAGTTGCTTGTTTAGTAAGATAAGCGCAAGCTTTTGGGAGCCTGCACAGGTATGGGTGCCCCCCTGCCCTAGCAAGTCACATGGGGCTGCAGAGGAAAGCTGGGTGCTGTGGACCTGTGGAGAGAGTCATGGCAAGGTTCTGGTCTGGCTGAGAGGCCTAACCTGAGTCTTCAGCCTGCCTGCTGAGCCACCCACAATGGCCCCTCCAGCTGTGTTCCTCCATAGGAAGCATGATACTTCTGGGTCTGGGAGGAGCAGAATCCAAGAGGACTTGCTGGTCCAGGGCTAGAGCCCCTTCACTGTCTCTACAGATGCAGCCTAACAAGCAGCTGCTTCCCTGCCCCATGCTCCCATCAGAGTGCTTCACCTGAGCAGCAGGAGGAGCACAAGCAGAGCTTTGGGCTGTGATCAGAGGAGGCTTCCAGAGGCAGCAGATTCTGGAGCGAGCAGGAGATGCACTGCTGGATTCTCCCAGGGGAGGTGCCGTGGGCTTGTGCCAGGGAACAGGGTGGAGATGGAGTCTGCGCTGGTCTTGTTTATGTTTTTGGTCTTTTACATGAGCTGCACACTTGTTGCTGAAGAACAGGAAGGTCCCCAGGCGTGCCACCTCTGGTTTCCAGCTGGTCGGTGCACTGTCAACCCTTGTAGGGGACTTTATTTTTCAGCCATCCTCCCAGGGCCCTCCCTTAAGCCCCACGTGCTGACCCAACCCAGTGAGAAGAGCCACCTTGCCAGTGTTGCCTGGTGGGGCTGGAGGTAGAAGGGAGGGCAGAGGTATGTCCACTGGTGGTGGCTCTGGACCCACCTTGCCATGGTCTTGTGGTGGTTCCATAATGCTGTGTGCATGTGGCTCTCATGGCTATGTGATTTGTTCTAAAACTTGTGAAGTAGAAGATAATAGAAATTAATAAACACATTTTAAAACTTGACTTGTAGCTTGTGGCAGGACGTGTGAATTCCAGCACTGCAGGAGCTGTGGTGGGTTGTGGCAGGACAGGGGAGGTCCAGACTGCGGTACAGCCTGTGGGGTTGTCCTGGGAGGATGGAGCTTCTGCTGCCAGGCATTCCTTTGTTAAAGGGGATGCTCAGCATGTGGGCTGTGGCTGCTGGCCCAGGCCCCACTGCCCTGTCCCTGTGAAGGTCTACTCACTACCCCTGTTGCTCTACTGGCCAGTTCTCCCAGCCTCACTCACTAGAATTGACCCTCTTCTCACCCTTTCTCTAGGTGACAAGGCTCTTGATGGCTACAGTAAAAAAAAATATGTCTGCAAATTGCTCTTCATCTTTCTCCTTGGTCACGACATTGACTTTGGACACATGGAGGCTGTGAACCTGTTGAGTTCAAATAGATACACCGAAAAGCAGATTGTGAGTGTGGAGGCAGGGTGGGTCTTATGCCCACTGGCCTCACTCTCCTGTCCTGCTCTGTGCTCTGGGTGGACGCTTAGTGAACACCCTGGGACCCCGCCCTTTCCACCCCACATGGATGCTCCTGGGCAGGGGGAATGCAAGGGCGGGCCTTTTTCCTGGGGTGGGGTTCTTCTGGAGAGGTGGCTTCTCTTGCTGTTCTCCTTATGACCTCACCTCTGTGCCCCAGGGATGTGCCCTGCAGTCTGGGCTGGTGCATTTGCTGGGAAGTACATTTACCTGAATGACTTTGCCCTTCCTGGAACACAGGGCTACCTTTTCATCTCCGTGTTGGTGAACTCCAACAGTGAGCTGATCCGCTTGATAAACAACGCCATCAAGAATGACCTGGCCAGCCGTAACCCAACGTTCATGGGCCTGGCTCTGCACTGCATCGCTAACGTGGGCAGCCGTGAGATGGCTGAGGCCTTTGCCGGGGAAATCCCCAAGATCCTCGTGGCAGGGTGCGTATCTGAGGGCTCTGGGCTGCCATTTCTGTCCATGTTGAACCCTTGGGTGCGTGATGCCACTTACACAGGTGGTCTGGCCTCCCAGCTGTGTAATGGGCATGTGGCATACTCTGAGGTTAGGTCAAGATGTGCTGGTTCAGCTGAGCATGGTGGCACATGCTGAGGCAGAGAGGATTGCACATTCAGGCCAGCCTCAGCAACTTAAAATAAAAATAGAATGAAAAGGGCTGGGAATGTGGCTCATTGATAGAGTGTCCCTGGCTTCAGTCACTAGTTCTTAAAAAAAAGCTGCTGGTTCAGAGTTTGGGTGAAGTCCCGTCAGATTGCACCTCCCTGAGGCCACCGAGATTTAGACAACACGTTGCCGAAGGAAGTGCGGCCCAGGCAGCAGCAGCCAGGCCAGAAGGGGCTCCAGCTTGGCATGGCACCAGGATGGGGAGGCACAGAGGTGTCCTGTTGTGCCAGCTCTGCTTCTTGCCTTTCCCAGAAACATTAGGAGAAGAGGCCATGCTGTAGAATCCTTGGGATTCTGAGTCATCTTGCCCCCTCCCTGTTAATTGGGAGAGCAGCTGAGTGGGCTGAGTAGCTGGCTCTTGAAGAGGTTCAAATAGACTGGGCCTTGAAACCACCACGTGCTTGTTCTGGTGCTCCTTGGCATTGGATAGCTGGACCACACTCACAGAGTTGTGTGCCTAGCTGCACCTTCAAGCAGGATCTGAAAGAGGCGGAGACTGTCAGTGATTGTACAGGGTTTCAAGGCTTGGAGGAAGGTGGTAGTACCTTCTGGCTGCATTTGCAGTGCGAGTTCAGCCAGAAGCGGGACCTCCAAGATGGAAGGAGATGGATAGGGTCTGAGTGGATGTTGAGCAGAGCACAGGCCAGATGTCAGAGCTAGGGAGGAAGGTCTGAGAAGAGGACAGCGAGGACCCCAGGCCCTCCTCCCTGCTCAGTCACTGCAAAGCCCTGTGCACAGGACATCTCTGTGTTGCCTGACCTGTCCTGAGCAGTGGTGGCGGGCATCTCTGTCAGCTGTGGCTGTCGCTTTCCTCCATCACTGTGCACAGGACTGGCCCACAGGGAGTGCTCAGTGAGCATCTAGGTGGATTGAATGTAAGCTGGGTCATCCCTGCAAAGTGCTCCCTGAGGTCACCCACATGCTGCATGTAAGTGAGGGTGAGGAGGAAGACCAAGCCAGAGCTCTCTTACAGCTGACAGGTGGGCTGGCATCTCCCCGCAGCTGGGCCTCCTGTGAGGACATGCTATGGACAGTTGCTGCCTCTTCCAAAGCTCACTACAGCAACAGGCCAGCCATGGAGTCCCCTGGGCAGTAGGTGGCTCTGAAAGTAGTGCTCTGGCATCGATGCCATGGTCAGAGGACACTGCTAACCTCCAGTCCCTGGAGACAGGAGGCTCCTAGGTGCGGAAGGCAACTTCATGGAGTATAGTCCTGTCACCAGAAATAGGGATGCAGGAGAGGGCAGGGTTGGAGGCTGGTGGTATCATTGCCCTGGGACTCTGGTGATACTCAGCATTGTGGAGCAGTTTAGAAGGGCTCTGGGCTCAGGTGTTCCAGTGCAATGCCCCAGGGTCCACACTGATGGCTGGCCTTGGCCCCCCTGTGAGGACATGCTATGGACAGTTGCCCTAGGAGGGTCTGTCGACAGAGGCCTGGGGCAGTGCGCAGACAACTCTTGTTCAGCATCCTTGTCACAGGCACAGAGACTGGCCACTCAGGGCAATGCATAGGAATCAGTTGGCTGGTGCCACACAGACCCTGCAGGCCCAGTAGATCTGATTGTAGGGCTAGGAGGGGCACGGTGCCTGCTACTCTTCTAGGTGTTTGTGTCTAAAAGAACTTTTCTTTCGAAGTAACTTTTGTTTAGAATAGTGCTGGGGAGATGTAGGGATTTCTCATGTTGGTTTTTATCACATTTAGGAATAAAAATCCCAAATACAAAAGGTAAGCAGGAAAGCCCCCAAGCTCTCATCTCTCTTCCAAGTGGAATAGCTGTTTCCACCTTAAGTGTCCCCAGGACGTGGACTGGTTCTTTCCAGGTCATCCGGGCAGCCGGAGGGTATCTCCTGGTGTGCCTGTTGTTTGGGAGTCTGGCTGGGGGTGTGGAGAAGGAGGCTCATTTGGCAGGTACCCCTAACAGTCCTCTGCACTGACCTGCAACCTTTGTGCTGCTGGCCTTTTTGCTCACTGGGAGGGAAGAGGAGAGGAGAGTATGCCCCTGTGCCAGACACTGGCCCCGAGACTTGGCTCAGTTTGACTGGAAGGCAGGTGGGTAGTCGCCAGGTGTGACTGCAGGCTGGACATGGAAGTGACACCTTTGTGCCACACTAGGTGTGTTCTCCTAAAACCTCCCGTTTGCTCATCTTTGCACACAAATCAAACCTTTCCCTGCCTTTGGCATTAGCAGCATTGCTGGTGCCCTTCACACCCCAGGCCTCTGTGTCTTGGGCCCTTCCTCCTCACTGCAGACCACAGAGCACCCAGCCAACTCCCATTCTCGGCAGGGTGGAGCAGGGCAAAGTGTGTGCAGTGGCTACAGGAGGGCTTGACAGCATTCTGGAGGCCAGAGAAGAAATTGCTGTGGCAGGGGAGGCCCTCTTAGGTGGCCCTGTGGTTGTGGGAAGAACCAGGAGGAGCCTTGTTGAGTGGGGCCAGCCTACACAGCTGGACCTGACTCAGTGCCTGGGAATGGTGACGAGTCTAGAGGAGGGAGCTGAGGATGAAGGCTTTCCCAGAGGGACTCTGCCATACCACTCCTGACTCATGTCTTCTGGTGATCCTGCATGCTCTTTACACCACTGTGTGCAGGGGGTCATCCTCTGCAGTAGCTTCTGGTATCTTGTCTTCTAGAGACACCATGGACAGCGTGAAGCAGAGTGCAGCCCTGTGCCTGTTGCGCCTATACAGAACGTCTCCTGACCTTGTCCCCATGGGTGACTGGACATCCCGTGTTGTGCATCTCCTCAACGACCAGCATTTGGTATGTGCTCCAGCCCCCTGCAGTCTTCCCAGGAAGAGCCTTGGTCTAAGAGGCAGTGTGGCTCTGCAGACAGGGAGCAGGGACCAGCAGAGGTGCAACTGCCCCTGCATTTTTTGTACAGCCAGTGCACAGGTGGCCTGCACCTGTGGGGAGGGGCACCACCAGGTCAGTGCCTTCTGGAAGAGCCTGTCCTGCACAGGACATTCCCACTACTGTTTCTGGCAGCTGCCTGGCTTGGGCTAGGAGGTAGAATCCTGTGGTCCCAGGTAGACTCTGGCATGAAGGCTTAATGCTGGTGAGCCCAGCTGTCATTCATTTTGTAGATGGGGTGAGGTCTCAGGGACTCAGCAGTCAGGGTATGTCATGGAGTAGGCCACCCAGGCCAGGCCAGGGCCATGGGAGGTAGCAGTGGCTGTGTTGCTTGTCCTCTGCTGGACAGGTGGTCAGTCTCCCTGCTGGGTGGGTGGGTGAGTGCGCTAGCTGGTTCCTGCTTTTTCCCCAGGAGAAATCTTCTGCAAAAGTTAATTAAAAATGAAAATCATTACATGTATCATTAAGGAGAGAGAGCATGGGAGTTACAGTGGGATTTTGCTGTGGAATGACATCTGTCTGAGTTGTCCCCATGCACATGATGACTTTTGTGCTTATTGGGATGTGAGAGGGAGCTGGCTCCTGCAGGTCCTGGTTCAGGGAGCACCCTCTGAGGACACCATTGCAGGAGTGGGTCTGCTGCAGGCAGGGCAGCCTGCTTCAGCAGTGAACTGCAAGACGCTTTTCCAGGCATCTTCTGTAGTCACACTTCACTGCCAAAAGACCCTGTGGGCCAGTGGGCCTTTTGCGGGTTTGCAAATGAGGAAACCAAGGCTCAGAAAGATGAAGCTAGGCTTCCAGAGGGTATCCGGCAGTCTCAGACCCAGGTGTTGTGAAGGTGTGGAGTAGTAGAGCTTTCAGGGACAGCCAGCCTGCTGCTGACAGGCCTTCTGCAGTGTGTGAGCATCTGTGGAGTTTTGGCAGGTGTTGCCTTCATGCAGCCTGGAGGGAGACTTCCCATGGCTTCAGATGCACAGAGCTTCACAGGGTGGCAGGATGGTGCCTCTTGCCTGACACGCTGTGACTGAGACCCCAGTGACCTGGTTTGCTTTCAGGTTTTTCTGTGCACAACTCTGTCTTGCCAGGTGAATTGATGGACAAGCTCTGGGCCACAGGCTTGCAATAGATAAGGGCCAGGAAGCCTTTCACGGCCTAGTATCTCCTCCTCTCTGCCACTTTTCTTCCTTGCACATCTCGTCTCCAGCTCTGCTGTGAGCAAGGCCTGGGGCTTGGCTTCCTCTGACCTCAAGGTCAGGGTGTCTGGGAAGGTGTCATTTGCCTAATCAGAGAGCAGTATAGGGGTTCAGGGCCTTGCGGATGGGGCAAGGTGAGGTGTGGGCAGGCCTGGCAGAGGAGGTCAGGAGTTCAGCGTCAGGTGAGTGCAGAGGCTGTGAGGGTGGGAAAGGAGATGGGTCTGAGCCACGTGCTGTGCCCTGAGCTGGGCTTGGTGGTCCTGGACCCTGTGGTCATGTGATGGAATGGGTGGGCTGGAGTGGATGAGGAAATGAGCTGATGTCTGGAGAAGTGTGGGCAGGGAGAAGGTGGTGGAAGTCACACTGTGGCCTGCCATGGCGCCATGCCCTTGTAGCACACACGTCCCCTTAGGCCTGACTCCCTGGAAAGACTGCACAGGAGAGCACGCCCTGAGTTGGCAGCCATTGAGCCAGGCAGCTGCAAAGATGAGAATCTCAAACTCTAGGATCTGGGTGGTGAAAGACTTTGTCCCAGTGGGTTTGCATGTCGCCGCATATCCTGTTTCCTAAAGGTTCTTCTTGGTCAGCATTTATCTTGCCATTGAGAAATGCACAGGATGCCCAGTTAGGTCTGTCTTGGATCTAGTGTTCCTGTTTCCATCAGGAAATGGAAGAGAGCCCTTAGTGGCCCTCGTGGACCCACTCCCCCACTCAGTGTAGGAGTAGGTAGGGTGGGAACCTTAGGCTCTGGCAGTGATTGAAGTGGACAACTGCTGAGCTGACTGCCCATGTCTTCAGGGTCAATCAGAGTCATTCATTTTATCCTTTATCTTATATTTGTAAGAGAATGTCTTTACTCAGTCCAAGTCTTTGAAGAGATTTCATTTACAGGACCCTGCCTTCTGGGGATTCTGCATGGTGTACATGCACTGCACGGGAGGGTCTCCTGGGCTTGGGGGTTTCCATCCAGGCTGTGGCACTTCAGGGGCGGAGTGAGGCATGGCAGGGCTGTGAAGACTCAAGTCTGTGGGCCTGGTTGCCTCTGTAGTGGTGTCACTTGGGCAGCCCAGCAGGTGGCGACAGGCCGACAGATGGCAGAGAGAAAGGCTGCTCCACACAGGATCTGGCCATGCTAGAGCCTGGGCCAGCCACGTTCCCTTGGTTCTAGAGAGAAGCTGGGTAAAGGAGACTGTGTGTACTGTCTCCATCTTAAAGATGCGATGGGTCCATCAGAGCAGGCCTGAGGCCCACATGGCTGTCTGCCTGAAACCAGGCATCTGTTGCTGTGTCTCTCAGGGTGTGGTGACTGCTGCTACGAGCCTCATCAGCACACTGGCCCAGAAGAACCCAGAGGAGTTCAAGACCTCAGTCTCCCTGGCCGTCTCCAGGCTGAGCAGAGTGAGTGTGGTGGGGCAGTCGTCGGGTGGGCTTTAGTCTTCATTGTTTTATTCAATTAATCTCTTAGTTTACTTTTTTGAATGCTTTGTGAATTTAAGAATGGAAACTGGTTGATTAGCCCTTAATGTTTCTTTAAACCTTTTTATTAGTTGAGAAGAATCCTGTCCCAGCAGGGCTAGCACACAAAGCCTGTCCTGTTTGCTATTTATTCCATCCCCTGTGCAGGCTGAGGGTCACAACAGGGCTTCTTGGAAAGGATGCCTGTCCTCAGCTGGGTGGCACCCACCTGAGTGGCGCCCTTGACTATCTTGGGTCCCGTGAGCCATCCCTGGGCACGTGTGCTCTGCATGTGTAGTCCTCATGCTTGTTCTGTGTGACTTGTGCCCCTGGGTCTTGGAGGCTGCAGATATCTGGGTTGTGTGGTGGATCACAATGTGTTGAGCCCCTCTACTATTATGAGCCCCTTGTTTCTCTTCACAGTGAGGCTCTTGTGGTTCTGTCTTGCTCACACTGGTCCAGGGTGGCTCTCCTAAGTTGAGGGGCAATGCACCCAGCTTCCAAAGTGGCTTTGCCGTCTGCACCCATGCTGGGCATCTGTGCACCCATTCTGCACCCTGCCCAGTGCTGCAGGGGTTAGCCTCTTGACTGTGGCTTCTCATTGTGATCTATGCTGTGTTCTCCTCACTGTCTGTGAGGTGGTACTTTTCATGTGGATTGGCTGCTGGGATCTGTCCTATGTAGGGCTGAAGACTTTTGTTCATCTTTCTACAGGATTGTCTTTGTTGTTTCGTGGAATTTCCTTGTTTGTTTTAGATACGAGAACTCTATTGGCTATATTAGTTTGGACCTTAGAACTGGCCAACATTTATTTCTGGTTGAGCTTCAAAAATGGCAGCTTCACATGGGTTGCCCTGCTCTGTGTTTGGAAATTGCTGTGAACCTGTGTTTCATGGTCTTCATGGAGTCTTCTGCCTTCAGGTTCTACAGCAGTGCAGTCAGATTTGCTAGGCTTCTCTGTGATCAATGCTCTCTGAGTGCGGCTGCTGAGCCTGTGTTCCAAGGCTGGTGGTGCAGATGCTTCTTCTATGGTGTGGCACCCTGGACCAGGCTAAAGAGCCCTGCAGACCAGGCGCCTTCCTCTGTGCTCTCCTCAAGCACTCTCTTCCTGTGCTCCTGACCTTACTGGGCTGGCTCTTGGTGTCCCACAGAGCAAACCCTGATGTCCTGGTTCCCTACCCCCAAAATCCTACTGGGATTTTGGATTGACTTTATGAATGATTGCGGTATCTCTCTTTATTTATTTAGATAGTCTTTATTTTTTTTTAAATACCTTTATTTTATTTATATATATTTTTTAATGTGGTGCCGGGGATCAAGCCCAGTGCCTCATGCATGCTAGGCAAGTGCTCTACCACTGAGCCACAACCCTGGCCCAAGATAGTCTTTACTTTCCATAGCATTTTATCTTTTTGAGATTCTTTCATTAGATGTATTTCTATATTTTACATTTAAAATGCTATTTTGAATGATAGCCTGATTTTTTTATTTCTTTAACTTTGTATATTTTAACTTTGTATATTTTATTTAGAGACAGAGTCTCACTGAGTTGCTTATTAACACCTCGCTTTTACTGAGGCTGGCTTTGAACTTGCAATTCTCCTGCCTCAGCCTCCCAAGCCGCTGGGATGGATTCTAGGTGTGTGCTATTACGCCCAGCAGTAGCTTGAAATTTTTACTTTTGTGTGTGTGATGCTAGAGATTGAGCCAGCCCCTTGTGCACTCCTCATGGCCAGTGCACTCCCCATGAGCCATACCCTAGCCCAGTTCTTCACTGTTGTCTGCTGTCTGTTTATATAAGATACAGGTAACAGAACGCCCTCTTAACTTTCCAAGTGTAATTCAGTGGTGTGAAGTGGTTTAATAATGCACACATAACACCGTGACTCTTCCCTTCCTGTGAATCTGATATTGTCCCCATTAAACATGGGCTCCCTACCCCACCCCTGCTCCAGTGGCTGGCCTTCTGTCTTTGGGACTCTGACAAGCTCAGGACCTCATGAATGGAATCACACAGGATTGCTTTTGTGATTAACTTATTTCTTTCATTTTACTTGCCTTCAAGGTTCACCTGTGTTGCTGAATATTTCAGAACTCCATTTTCAGGCTGTGTAATATTCTTTCATATAGATGGCCCCAGTTTGCTCTGTGCCCCTCCCTGGCCCTTGCCTGCCTTTCTGTGAGCCGCCCCATGGCACCCTGTGAACCCAGTGTGTGGGCTGCTAAGACCTTTGATGCCCCCTCCCCACCATTTCCTCTCCCACAGCATGGACTCAAGCATCATGGCACCCAGCTTTTGGGCTCATGTTCCTAGGTTGGCAGTAGGGGAGGGGAAGATGGGGAAACCCTGGATCCCGCCCCCGCCTTCCCCAGCTGCCTCTGCCCCTTGGGACCCAGAGGAGATGTCTTGGTGGTAGGCACACGCCCTAGGCAACCACTGGAACTGTGACAGAGAAGCCCCTTGGCAATCCAACTGGGGTGGTCTGATGGGGGCAGTCCAGCTCAGGCCTCATCCTCCCATCTGCGTCTCAGCCTTAGCATGGCACTTTGGGCAGTGGCAGTCTTTTGGCAAAGGACTGTCCTGGTCCAGCTGCTCCCTGGGTGCCTGCTGCTGAACCCCATCACCTTCTGTCTTGAGGAACAGCCCCGCATGGGCAACTACTGCCTGCTTCAGATCAGGCAAGCTGGCCCAGCGGGAGGTTGCCGTCCAGGCAGGGTCCAGCAGAACCCCCAGCAGCTTGCTGAGGCTGTTGCAAGAAGCCCGCATCATGAAGGGCCTATAACACCCCACACATGAAGCTCTTGAAGCTGGTGGAGACTGAGGAGACATGTACCTGGTGGCCACAGGGAGGAGGACGCAGGAGCCAGGATGTACCGAGCGCACTGTTGACTCTAGAAAAGCATTGTGCATGGGGACTGAGGGCGGGGGACCTCCAGACTTCCAGGCCACAGTCTTCAGCTCAGCAGTGAGTTCACTCTGGGCTTGAAGCTGGACATGTTTCGCAGGAACACCCATTTGCTGCCCTGGAGCTGTTCCAGGGCAAGAGGTACGATGGGCCAGAGGTGGATGATGCCTGGCATCATGCTGTACCCCTTGTCAGCGGCTCCTTGCCCTCAAGGAGCTGTAGGAGTGTGTCCTCAGGGGAAGTACTGGGTCCCTTTCTCTATATCCACAGACTGAGAGTATCCTATAGAGATCATTGGTGCTGAACCCAAGTAAACACTGTGCTCTCCAGCCACAGGCTGAGGAGCTGGAATCACATGCAGAGCCTGAGCAGAACTTTGGGGACATCAAGCAAATGGAGGTGATGGTATGTGGGGGCTACACCCAGGAAGAAACTGAGAGGCCTCGAACTGCCAGAAGTACAAAGAGTAACCCCCCCAGCTGCCTCCTGCAGGATAGGAAGACCTTGGTGGGTGGGGACTGGGTGCCCCAGCTGGCCCTGGCACAGGGGGGCGAAGCCTGCCCATACCAAGCTGTCATGCTCCAGGAAAGGCACCCCTTCATCTGTCACCACCCGTGCCTTCTGTGGCCCATCCCTGGCATCCCTCCACTCCCGGGGCAGCCTGGCCAGCCTGGGGGAGGCCGAGTGGTAGGAGGAGCAGCTGCCAGGCCTGAAGTTGAGCTCCAGGCGTCAGGAGGTAGGCTGCCTACCTCCAGCACCATGATCAGCAGTGCCCACAACCACCGCAAGGCTGAGATCCCCAAGCTGTGGAAGGACAGCAGGGCACCCCTGACAGCCTCCTCCCACCACGATCACTTGCAGGAACACCTGTGGTGATGCAGAATGCTCTGGGAATCAGCTCAGGCACCTGTGGGTGCCTTTCTCAGTCACAGCCTGGTTCCTGGGGAGTGGAGTCTCCTGGCCTGCAGCTTCACCGTCGGCAGCACCTTCCATTGGCTAGGTCTAGGACTGAGGGCAGAGGCAGGGAGTGGAGGGGTGGTATGCCAGACTTGGGGAATGTATGTTCATACATTGCTGTCTACCTTGGGATCAAACAGAAACTGCCACTTGGCTGCTTAATTCTCCTGGAGGGTGACGCTGACCACAGCCCTGATGACAGCCCTGATGATGCTAGGCCACAGCCCTTCCTGCTGGGCCTGTCAGCATGAGCATGTAGGTGGCCTGCACCGTCACACTTTGAAGTGGAGGTCTGCCAACTGCCCTGGCCAGGCCTGTGATGTGTTTCCTTGCTATATGTGACCAGTCTGGGTCCCTTCCTCTTCCTCTCTCTTATTCCTTTTGCCTCTGTAGGAGGGGAAGGGGATGGGGAGGGGATGCTCCTTTGTCATCACGGTTGGTTCTGGATTAAATTGGGGGGCAGAGATTGTTCTCCCTGCTGTTCTCCAAGGCTGCTTGGTGTGGGAGGAGGATAATGGGGCTGGGCCAGGGGAACTGGCACCCAGCTGGAACCTGCAGGCAGTCCTTTCCTTCTCCCTCTGCCTTGCAGCACCTGAGGAGACGCTGGGGGTCAAGCAGGTGTGGGAAGGAAACTGAGGAAACTTCCACTCCTCTGAACAGCTCAAGAATTAGGCCTTGAAGTGGGGCAGGGACAGCTGACTGAGCCCAAATGCTCAGACTTTGGGAGGCTGGGGTTGGGGTCACAGAGGCAGATTCCTTTCTTCTCTCCATCTCCTCATGCTCAGACCCTCTTCCTGCTCCATATTGACTCTGGGCACTTTGTACAATTCTTGTAAATGCCCCACCTTTCCCCTCTAGACCTCCAGTGGATTGGGCATCTGCATGCTGTGCAGGTTTCTCCCAGGCCCCGCTTTCGCTTTCTTTTTCTCTCTCTCTCTCTCTCTCTCTCTCTCTCTCTGTGTGTGTGTGTGTGTGTGTGTATATCATTTTTAGTTACAGATGGATACAGTATCTTTTATTTTTATTTATTTTTATGTGGTGCTGAGGATTGAACCCAGGACCTCAAGTGCTAGGCAAGCTCTTTACCACTGAGCTACTCCCTCATCCCCCCACCCCGCTTTCTTTTCTTTCAGGTGTGCATCCAGTGAGGAATTGCTGGATTATATGCTTATTCTCTTTATTTGTTTATTTATTTTTGTGGTGCTGAGGAGGGAACCCAGGGCTTCTAGCATGCTAGGCAAGCATTCTGCCACTAGCACCCCAGCCTCTGTTATAATTTTGAGGAATGCTGCTCTGTTTTCCACGGCAGCTGCGCCATTTTGGATTCACACCAGCAGTGAGCAGACGTTCCAGTCTCTCCATACCCTCCTCAGTGCATGTTTTGCTGATTTTTGTTGGTGCTCTTGTTTTCTTGTTTTCTTTTTTTTTTTTTGGGGGGGGTACTCTTTTTAATGTGTGCAAGGCAGTATTCAATGTAGTTTTTGCTCATCACATGGGTTGTCTTTTTACTTTGTTAATAGTATCTTTGGATGTGCAGAAAATTAAAATGTTTTTGTGAAATCCAATTTGTCTGTTTTTTTTTTTTTTCCCTGTTGTCTACAGCTTTGGTGTCATATCCAAGAAATCATTGCCAAAAATAGTGTCATCACTCTCTGCCCTGTTTGCTTCTGAGGGTTCTGTTGCTTTAGATCTTTGATCTGTTTTGCATTAATTTTGTGGATGGTGTGGGTTAAATATCCATCTTCATTCTTTCTCAGGTGGATGTCCACCTTTTCCACCACCATTTGTTTAAAAAGATTTATCTTTCTCCCATTGGGTCTTGGTCTCCTTTTCAAAAATCATTTGGCCATATGTTGTGTGATTGAGTTTTTTTCTTTTTCTTCTGTGAGGGGGTTGTTTTCCGTTGCTAAAGCTTTCCCTGGATTTTGGGGCTCAAGTGACACCTCTGCCTTGGCTTTCTGGGTAGAGGACTCCACTGTACCTGGCTTACTGTAGTCAATCTTTTTTTTTTGTGTGTACCTGAGATTGAACTCAGGGGCACTCAAACACTGAGCCACACCCCCAGCCCTGTTTTATATTGTATTTAGAGACAGAATCTCACTGAGTTCCTTAGCACCTTGCCATTGCTGAGGCTGGCTTTGAACTTTGATGCAATCCTCCTGCCTCAGCCTCCCAAGCTGTTGGGATTACAGGCGTATGCCACCAAAGCTGGCTACTATAGTCAGTCTTGCATTGATCTTGGAGTTGGCAACTTTCCCAAACTCCTTGTCGGTTTTTTTTTCCTTCAAATTTTAGTTGTAGTTGGACACAATACCTCCGTTTTATTTATTTATTTTTATGTGGGGATGAGGATTGAACCCAGTGCCCCACATGGGCTAGGCAAGTGCTCTACCATTGAGCTGCAACCCCAGCCCCCTGAATTCCCTGATTGATAATACTTAATGTGCAGCTTTCTTTGGATTTTCTTTACATTCCACTGTATCATCTATGTTTATTTTTCCTTTCCCAGCCCAAATTTGTTTATTTCACCTGCTTTATTGCTCCAATCCAGACCTCCATTGTGATGTTGAACAGAAGTCGTGATCAGTATTTTGTGTTTTGTCTCATTGGGAAGGCTTTTGATATTTTACCATTAAGTATGATGTTTGCTGTAGAACAGTTTCTTTTTTGTTGTTGTTGTTGGTTTTCTTCTTTTGGGTACTGGGGATTGAACCCTGGGTTGCTTAACCACTGAGTCACACCCCCCAGCCCTTTTTAGTTTTTATCTTGAGACAGGCTCTTGCTAAGTTGCTGAGTCTGGCCTTGAGCTTTGAATCCTCCTTCTTCGGCTTCCGGAGCAGCTGGGTTGGCAGATGTGGCCACTGCTTGTTGGTTTTCTTGATCACGTTAAAAAAGTTCCTATCTTTAATTTGCTGGACACTTTTATAATTAATTAACTGGAAGCCATTTAAAGTAGGGTCTCCTTTGTATGAATTCCCCTATGGGAAACAGTGTGGTGCCTGCCTAATGTGCTTGCCTCTGCTCTCTGGCAGTGCGTGTCTGTCCTGTCGGTCTGTCTTTGCTGAGCAGCTTTGAGCTCTGCTTCCTGCAGGAGGTGTGTGTACAACCATAGTTTAGGTTAGTACCATTTAGCTTAGGGCAAGGGTTGGTTGAGTTTTCTCAGGTGGGTTCATGCTGGCATCCATGTCACACGTGTGCTCTGTGGGGAGGAGGAGCCAGCTACTCTGAGCTCCTGGAGCAGGAGCAGGAAGACCCTGGTTGTGTGCCAATAGGAACGAGGTCTCAGCCATAGGTTCTCCTTTCCAAGGATGGTGAGGTCTGTTGTGTAGGGCTGTGCTGAGCTATAAGTGCAGCCTGCTGCTGCTCGGCAAGTTCACTACAGAGGTCCGTGCCTGGGGCTGCAGGGCCTGGGTGGAGTCAGAACTCTGGCTTCTTCGAGGAGTCTCTTCCCTTCCCAGGGGCCTAAAGCTCTTGCTCTGGTATGCCATTCATTCCCCAGCCCTCAGAGGAAAGGCTGATGTCACATTCAGGCATCACAGAGTGGGGTGCCAGAGAGGACTGTTGCTTGGCTGTTGACTGGCACCTGCTGTGACCCTTCTGTGCTGCAGAGCATGGCAGGCATCATGGTGACAGGACTATCCACTGGGGTGTGGCACAGGCCCGCAGTGTGCCTGATGTGGAGTCAGGAAAGCAGTGCTTTGTGTGCACCTGCACCTGGAACAGAGTGGATCTGCAGATGGGCATGGCCTCAGGAGCCAGCGTGGCTTCTTGGGTGCCCTCTGGGGCTCCTGCTGTCAGCACCTCTCACCTGTTCTGTGTTACAGATTGTGACGTCGGCCTCAACAGATCTTCAGGATTACACCTACTACTTTGTCCCGGCGCCCTGGCTGTCGGTCAAGCTCCTAAGGCTGCTGCAGTGCTACCCACCCCCAGGTGATGGCCAGCGGGGCAGGGGAAGTCGGCCTACCCAGACCTGCACCGGGAGGGTTTAGTTCTTTGAGTAGATTTGAGCCTTCTGCTGTTGCGGGAAGTTCCTTGCAGGAGTCCTGGTTTTCATTTGTAGCTCCCTCTGCTGATACAGCCGTGACTCAGTTTTGTTAAGACTAGGGTTCCTCTGTGCTTTTCTGTGGTCTCAGATCTGTGCAGTTTGAGACAAGCCTTCTTTCCATGGTGCTAGAGATGAAGCAGGGCTTACCATCAACTCCATGCTGTGCCACTGAGTCCTATGCTGGCCTGTCACCAGTGCTAGTAGCCATATCACAGGAATTGCCAAGTTATCACTGGTCCTTGTGCTCCTTCCCTTTGGTCCCAGAGGCCTTGTGAGGCTTTCCTCTGTGTTGCCACTGAAGCTCTTCCCTGTGGGTGAGAGCAAGTGCATAGAAGGCCTTTGGCCCTTTAGCCTAAGATTTTTTCATTGTGTTTGTCCGTATCTGTGGATTTTATTCCCTTTCCACTAAGGTGGTCTGTATCCCAGTAAAAATGCTCTGTGTGCGGCCTGCTTTGAGGTGCAGGACCCTTCATTCCTGGTGTCCGTGCCATGGCAATGGGGTGCTGACTCGGCTTTCTCTCGTGGTTTTGTGAGTGCTTCCAGCTGCCCCACCATTAGGGTTGGCTGTGTCGAGGGCCCACAGATCCGCTGTGCTAGTCTGGTGGCCTCTTAGCAGGTGTGGGTCTGAGGCCAGGGAGCCTGACCAGTCCTTCTTCCTTGCCTAGAAGACCCTGCAGTGCGGGGCCGCTTGACCGAGTGCCTGGAGACCATCCTGAACAAAGCCCAGGAGCCGCCTAAGTCAAAGAAAGTACAGCACTCCAACGCCAAGAATGCGGTGCTGTTCGAGGCCATCAGCCTGATTATCCACCATGACAGGTGAGCTGCTGGCCTCCTGCACATGCTGGTGTGACTCTCAGCATTGCTCCCCATGGGCTCTGCCCCACTGCCACCTGGCATGCCCTCTCTGGCCCCAGAACCCTCACCAGATGCTTTGCTGACTGTTGCCATCCCCAGAGCCACCTCCTGTTTCTCTGTGCTTCTGTGTCCCGATTGGCTTCTCCCATAGTCCTGCAGAAGGTTGTGTGTCCTGTGCTGGCCCAGGTCTCTGGTAGAGACAACCCTGCCTGTGGACACAGCACAGAGGGCTGTGGGTGGCTGTCCTGCTCCCCTGTGGGCCTACAGCACTGTGCTTTGGCTCAGAGAGGGGACGTGTGGCCCACGGGGCCTGTGGGCAGACATTAGCTGTTCTCTAGTCACTGCTTCCTTGTAGAGCAGCAGGCTGATGTCCACCCTCATCAGGGTTGGGGGCTGTGTGAAATGAGGTTTCTAATTGGAGGTTGCCTCATGGTCCTCACTGAATATACTTAAAAAGAGTTGGAGTCACCTGAAGCAGTGGGGGCTGCGTGGAGTTGCCTGTGTGTGCCTCGTGCCTCCTCACTGGCTGGTTGCCCTGGCCTTTTGCTGCCCGTACACGTGAGCACCAAGCTGGCTGCTGATTGAAGTTGCTTTTCTGGTCAGGACCTGATGCCAGCAGCACCTTGACCTTCAGACTCCAGAGTGGGTGGAGTTCTTCAGAACTTTGGGAGGTTCCAGAGGGAGCAGGAGCTGTAGGATGCGACACCCAACTGAGGAACCAAGCTGGGCTCCTGCCTCTTGGGCCCCTGGGGTTCTTGCTTGGGCGGCATATCATGCCCTTGTCAGTACACAGCAGGGTCCAAGCCTCTCCTGCTGGTGTGACCAGTGCTGAGGAAGCCTCTCCCGCCCGCTTCTGCCTGTGCAGTGAACCAAACCTGCTCGTGCGCGCCTGCAACCAGCTGGGCCAGTTCCTGCAGCACCGGGAGACCAATCTGCGCTACCTGGCTCTGGAGAGCATGTGCACGCTGGCCAGCTCCGAGTTCTCCCATGAGGCTGTCAAGACCCACATCGAGACTGTCATCAACGCCCTCAAGGTAGCACCATGGTGGGAGTTGTGGGTGCTTCTGTGACACCGCTGGGTGCCCTTGGCAGTTGCATTTAGGTCCAGAAGTGATGGCCTGAGTCTTGTCACCCATCACACAGACTGGGCACAGCTTCTGGGTTAGTTGTCATCTGCCCTGCCATGGGGTCCCACCGTGTCTTGAGGCCACACTGCCTGGCCAGTCCCACACTGCGTGGGACTCTGGGCTGCACGCGTGTGACCACAGCAGTCCTGACTTGTGGGATAGCTCTCCTGTGGGATCCTGCTTGCTGAGTTCCATCTAATGGTTCAGTGAACAGAGCGATTCTTTTTTGGTAGAAAGGTGAATTTTTTTGGTACCAGGAATTGAACCCAGGGATGTTAACCCCTGAGCCCTGTCCCTGACCCTGTCCTTTATTTGAAAGTCTCACTAAGTAGCTGAGGTCTCCCTCCACTGCTGGGGCTGCCTTTGAGCTTGCCGTCCTCTGCCTCAGCCTCCCCAGCTGAGCACCATCACACCTGGCTGAAAGATGAGATATTTTATTCTTTTTAAGAAAAATCACACTTGGCAGAGGAAAAATTCACTTTTTCGAGGATTTCAGATTTTTTAAAAAAAATTTTTAGTTGTTGATGGACATTTATTTTATTTGTACGTGATGCTGAGAATCGAACCCAGTGCCCCACGCATGCTAGGTAGGCAAGCAAGCACGCTACCACTGAGCCACAACCCTAACCCCTCAGATATGTTCTTTAAAACTAAAATTTAAGCTCTGGAGGCGCCTAGCTGGGGTCGCCACGTCCTGCTGTCTGCCCAAGTCTGCAGGACTGACCAGCGGGCCTGCCTGTGAGCACGGAGCAGCAAAGAGCTACAGGCGGAGGTCACAGTACGTGTCCTGGCCCAGCTGTGGGTAGTGGCCCAGCAGGTCTACGTGTCCTGGCATTCTGTGGCTCCCTGAGCTTTTTGTGGGGACCAGTCGAGGTTGGGTTCTGGTCCTGGCTTGGTGTCTGTGCTAGTCGTTTCCATAGTCGTTGACAGGGAACAGCTCTCAATTCACATGGCTCTAGCCCTTGTTCGGGCCCTTCTCTGTGCTGCTCTGGGGTGTTCAGCTCACCACCACACCCACCCTCCTCACACATCGTGTTCTGGTTCCTTCTGGGGCAGGGTCATAGCGAGCTCCCAGGCGAGCTCCCAGGCGATGTTCCCAGGTGATGCAGAAGGAACCAGTCTGTGACCACACAATAGAGAGCCCTCCATGGCTCAACCACTGGGCACAGAGAACCTGGCTGGTCAAGTGGGTGTGGTGGTGAGTGGGAGGGAGCTAGTCTCCAGGCTGGAGGGACTGTTTGACTCACGTTGGGGTGGTGAGTGAGTGAGTGAGGGAGGGGTCTGGCGAACCCCAGTCTGTTGGGCTTCCAGGTACAGATAGTGAGGAAGGTGGGTGCAGTGACTGCCTGATGAGGACAGAACCATGGGGAGTCCTGGGTGGCTCCCTCAGGATGTAGATGCAGGGCCCCTGGGCCACACACTTCAGGGGACATTGACTGTCCACCAGCCTGTGGTTTGCATGGGCAGTCTCTTGATTGCCCTCCTTCCCCTGCAGACAGAGCGGGACGTGAGTGTGCGGCAGCGAGCGGTGGACCTGCTCTACGCCATGTGTGACCGCAGCAATGCCCAGCAGATTGTGGCCGAGATGCTAAGCTACCTGGAGACAGCCGACTACTCCATCCGAGAGGAGATTGTGAGTCCTCGGCCCAGGCTTGCCCACCTCTGGACTGCTCCTTGATGGCTGTTGCTGTCCAGCAGGCTTGGTGGGGGCTCTGTAAGACGCTCGACAGAGGATTCCTTGGTGCTGGCCTTCCAGTCAGCAAGGAGATGCCTCCCATCTGCCCAGCAGCAGGCTTTCCCAGGACCTCTGTCCTTCAGTGCCGTATCAGATTGGCAGGGTCTGAACGAGGCCTCCGTGGTGTGTGTCATGGCCAGCATTTCACATCCTGTGGGTAGAGCTGTCAGCAGTGCTGATTTTGAACTACAGCTGACGCATCTCTGATTTTCCTGGTCCTCGGCATCTCTAGCTGGAACTAATCCTGAGCAGTGGCTCCCTTCGTGAGTCCTGTCAGTCGCCATGCATCAGCCACATTCCTGACAGGCTGCTGCCGCCCAGCAGGCCCCTGCTTCTGTCACAGAGCAGGTCTGAGGGAGGGGACCTTGGAGCCCCATGGCTGCCCTGATTGCTCTGCTCCTAACCCAGGGGTAGCACTGGCTTCTCCATGCCTGAGGATAGGCAGGGTGTTGCTCAGCTCTCTAAGTACCTGAGGTAATTGACGTACAATAGAAAGGTGTTTTTTTAATGTTTTTTTTTTTTTTGGACACAATGTCTTTATCTTATTTTTATGTGGTGCTGAGGATCGAACCCAGTGCCTCACGCGTGCTAGGTAAGCGCTCTACTTCTGAGCACAACCCCCGCCTAGAAAGGTGTATTCTGACTCCAGCTTTGCAGCTTAGAGTTCAAGGTCACTTTGGACCTATGTAAGGCATGGCTGGGCAAGTGGCCTGCTGACTTCAGCCAGTGTCTGTTTCTGGCCTGAGTTGTGGGGCTTGTTGGGGTGTGTCTGGCTTGGGGGCTGGTCACTGGAGAGGCCCTCCTTAACTCTTCTCTAGGGGGTGCGGCAGTCAGGGGATCTGTGCCCATTGGCACATCACGTATGCGCCACGCACCCAGGGTTTGAGTGCTGGCTTATGGGCTGTTAGATGAGGAGTTGTCGTCCTGTCGGCTTTCATCACATGTCTCAGTCCCAGGACCAGGACTCACCCACCACCCACCCGTCTGTTGCCCTGTTGGCTGCTGGGGGTCCGGGTGCTACGACCACCCAGCCCACAGGCTGTTCTCCCTCACGTGCTTGCAGATTGGGGGCAGGACGGTGGTCTGCATGTGCTCTGGGTGCTGGAGGCAGGCCTGGTAGCCTCAGGAAGATGTCCTGTGGGAGGTGGTGAGGACCCCCAGCCTACAGCTGAGTGCAAGGGCTGGCTCGAAGGCCATGGGCTTTGACGCTTTGGAAGTGTCTTGGAATCTGATGGGAGAGGGGGTGTGCAGAGTAGATGGATGGGTGTTTTAGCTCTAGGCTGGGGATGGTGGGGCCTGAAGGATCTGGTCACCATGATGGCTGGCTCAGGGTTGGCAGCTGATACCCTTTGGGCTCCATGCAAGAAGACTGGGTGGCTGCCCCTATGGTGTGAGCTTGCGGGGCTAGGTTAGGGGTGGTGAATTGGCAATCCTCCCATGGAGAGAGGGCAGGTAAATAAGAGGGGGCCTGGGGATGTGGTGGGCAGGCCAGCGGGAGGAAGAGCCATGGCCTGAGGATGGTGTGCAGTGCCATTTCACCTGGGGTATCTTGCAGGTGACACGAGGCTGTTGGTAACAGGGTCCCATTGCATGCCTGGCTCAGCTACTGCTGCCTGTCCCTGGAGGTCAATGGCTTTTCTTGCCTGAGTAGCGGCTCCACACCCTGGGCCTCCTTATAGAACCAGTGAGGGCTTTCCACACACCCCAACTTTAGGTCCTCTACGGATTTGGATGATGGCTTGTCCTTTGGTGGGCCCCTGGCAGGTGCTGAAGGTGGCCATCCTGGCTGAGAAGTATGCAGTGGACTACACCTGGTACGTGGACACCATCCTCAACCTGATCCGCATCGCAGGAGACTACGTGAGCGAGGAGGTCTGGTACCGAGTCATTCAGATTGTCATCAACCGGGACGACGTACAGGGCTATGCTGCCAAGACGGTGTTCGAGGTGCGGCCTGGGTTCATGTGATGGGCAAGGGTGGTGAGTAGGGCATTGGTGCCCATGCTCATATGAATCCCGGTGGGTGGTGTTTTTTGCCCTTTTTGCTCCTGTTTGTTGTACTCTGTGATCCCCTGCCTGAGCTTGCTGTCCCTTTGAGCCTCTTCTCCTGGGCTCAGGTGCCCCCGGCTGTTCTGCTGTGGCTTGCAGCTCCTGTACCTGGCTCAGCCCATTCATGGTTTCGTAGGCTCTGCAGGCTCCAGCATGCCATGAGAATCTGGTCAAAGTAGGCGGCTACATCCTGGGGGAGTTTGGAAACTTGATAGCTGGGGATCCTCGATCCAGGTAAGACACATCTGTGCGCCGGCTGGCATGTGCTCTGTCGTGGGTTGCCCTGCACCCTTCGTCCTCCTGATGGGAAGTGCTTGTCCTCACATTGATTCAACACCCTCCAAGTCATTCAAGTAGCATGCCTCTGTTAAAAGTACAGATTATGTGGTCCTGTGGCTGGTGTCCTCAAGTACCTACAGACAGATCTGGCACAGGAAACGCAGCCTCCCTGGGGACTTCTATCTTAGCATGAGCGCCCAGCTGTGCTTGCCTCTGAGCTGGCAAGCTGACAGCCTGCCTTGCCCTGACCAGCCCCTTGATCCAGTTCGACCTGCTGCACTCCAAGTTCCACCTGTGCAGCGTCCCCACCCGGGCGCTGCTCTTGTCTACCTACATCAAGTTCGTGAACCTCTTTCCGGAGGTAAAGACCACCATCCAGGACGTGCTGCGCAGCGACAGCCAGCTGAAGAATGCAGATGTGGAGCTGCAGCAGCGAGCTGTGGAGTACCTGCGCCTCAGTACTGTTGCCAGCACTGACATCCTGGTACGCAGTGGCCTGGTGGACTGGGGCTAGGCATCCAGGGCCCTGGGCCAAGCCAAACTTGTGTTCTTTCAACCAGGCAACTGTCCTGGAGGAGATGCCGCCCTTCCCAGAGCGTGAGTCCTCCATCCTGGCCAAGCTCAAGAAGAAGAAGGGCCCGAGCACAGTGACCGACCTGGAGGAGACCAAGCGGGAACGGAGTGCGGATGTGAATGGGGGCCCTGAGCCCGCCCCAGCCAGCACTAGCGCCGCGGTGGGTCCTTGCCTACTGTGCCTGACCCCCAGGGCCCCACAACCTGAGATCAGGATACACAGAGTGTGAGCATGTCAGGGAGAATTTTTATTAACGTGTACTGAGAGCCCAGCGTTGGCCCTCGGCTTGGGGTCTGCGTGCTTCTTCACCCAGGCTCTCAGGTGGCTTATTGCAGGAGGCTGGTGTCTGCCTGCTGGAGGTATCTGTGTGACTGGCTTCTTGGCGGCAGGCCAGCTCCCTACTTCCCTCCAGGTGACCTGGGGGCTTGGTCCCTTGCCCTCCCATGGTGGCCTGTCTGCATGCTTCTAGGCTGAGGATGGGCCCCGCTCTTGGAGGTTTTCTGTAGTGAGTTGAAGCAAATATCTTCCTTGTGAGTGACGTGACGAGAGTGGCTTGTTAACATGGGGCTATTCACATGGTGCCAGCACAGGCATCCATGGGGTCTAGGCCAGGGTAAAAGGGCAGCAGCCATGTCCTGCAGAGCAGAGGCTTTGGCCCTAGCAAGGTGAGGCCACGTCTGGAGGAGGATGTGGGTGCAGGTGTCCAGTGACCAGGTCCTACAGAGCCTCCAAGGAGAGCCACAGAGTTCCTCTAGGGTGTCACATGGGCTCTGCAGCTCTGAAGAAGGTGCATCCGCAGGCATAGAAGGGCCTTGGTGGCTACCATGAGGCTGTCGTTGGTCTCTGTTTGGATTTACTTGGTTTTTCTCTTATGCATTGGCCCTGATAAGTGAAGTATGACATGCCCAGCCAGGTGTGTGTGGACTGGGAGGTGGGCCTGGGACCCAGGCTGAGGGGTTGGGTGATATGCTCAGGGGGTCAGAGCCTTGGGTGCAGTGAGGCTGTCCTTGGAAGGTAGGTGTGGGCTCCCTGAGGCTTGGCTTTTTGATAAGGCCCACCCTTTGGAGGCCTCCTCAAGGTTGATTCAGTTTTCTGACTGGGCTGCATGCCCCTTCCTGACTTTACAGGCACCTGGCAGGCGAATGGTTGGGAAAGTGGGAATGGTGAGACTTGCAGCCTGCACCCTGAACTCCACGATGGGTGCAGTGGCAGATCTCCTCCTAAAGTGGGTTATTGGTGGGCCCTGGGCATTGAGGAAGAGGAGCAGGATGGGGGCAGGGGCACACCAGGTTTGCCTAGCAACACTGGGAGGTCTGGGTTTCATGTGGCACTTTTCATCTGGGGCACTGTTGGCCAAAGTGTCTTCTACTAAGGTCATGGGTAATGCCAGAACATCTTTGCAAAAATCTCACCTGTGATCCCATGGAGGGCACCAGGACATACCTGCGGCTGCAGATTTGCCTGGCTGTGGCTGGCCACCCTGCTGACCAAGTGTCCCCAGAGGCTGTGCTGGCCCCAGTCTGGGCACAAGTGCTCCTTGCTTCAGTTCCTGCTGTGATTGCTGTTGGGAGGGTCTCCCTAAGACTTGGAGGCCAGCAGGTTGGGGAGGTAGGGGTGTGGCTGTGGCTTGCTGGGTTCTCCTGATACAACAGCCTTGCTCTTACACTCATAACTCTTGGGGTGCTTGTTTAATAGGACAAAGGGGGGTTTCCCAGTTTTAAGAGACATTTAGAAAGCAGACATACTGGAACCACCTTTCAGGAGCCAGTGGTGAGGAGCTGACTGGCTGGCAGACCTGCAGGGGCTCACCCTGTGAGTGCCTGTCTGTAACCCATAGCCCTCTGGCATACAGCCTCCTGAAGACACAGGGCTGGGCGGAGGGGTGGAGTAGCCACCTGCAGTGGGTCCAGCCAGACTTGCCCGCTCCTCTGTGGCCTCTCTCTTCTCCCTGGGGTATGTGTGACCCAGGTCTTCTGGGTCAGTCAGTGGCCCTTGAGGAAGGAGCACAGTGCTCCTGGTACCTGTATCCTGCAGAGACAGACCAGTGGGCTTGCCTGGTCCAGCGTGGGCCTCTGACACCCACACCCACCTCACCAGCCGATGTTCTGTGCCTCTTTCATCTTGGAGTCATGTCCATGCATAAAGCCATGTATCTGCACACGCAGTTAAACACATTTAACACCCCAGCTTGGTGTGAAGGGGCCGCAAGGTCCTTTGTGCCCAGTATGGCTCTGCTGAAGGCCAGATGGCAGGCCTATAGGCCTGGCCCCATGTGCCGGGGCTTCCACATGGGGAATGACAGCCTTTTGGCTAGTTCTGGGGAAAACCAGTGCAGACTGAGTGAGTATGTTGGGTGGCCTTAGGACCTAGTTCTTGGAACACTGTAACCTGGTTTAGTCTTCATGGCTGTCCAGTGGGACTTGGACCAGCCACTGGGGGAGTGTCTTCGTGCAGGCATCCATATCTCTGGCCTTAGCTCATGCAGTCAGTAGCATCTGGAGTCATGTGACCATCAGATCCCAGGCCTGAGTGGCCCTGAAGACCTCTGCTGGAAGCACCCAGTTGTGTGGTTGGCTTAATTCTGCAGCTGGGCCCAGGCCCACATAGAATCAGAGCCGAGGTGAGCCAGCTGCATGTCTTGAAGAGCAAGTACAGGTGCATGGAGCTATGCCTCCTGGTGAAGTGGCACTCACTTCTGTGGCCCTCCTCATAGCAGATCACGTAGTGGTCACTTCTATGGCCCTCGTCACACCAGGCGATATAGGGATCCCTTCTCTGGCCCCCATCACACCAAGGGATATAATAGTTTTCTGAGGATCAAAGCCATGTGTTTGTCTGCAGGCCGTGCTGTGTATGGTGCCGAGGCTGAGCCAGGGCATTCCATTGCTGAGCCACATCCCACCAAGTGTCCTAGGCTGGCCTCAAACCTGCAGTGCCTCAGCCTCCTGCTGTTTGTACAGTTTTTAATCTGCCTTTCCCCTCAACTGAATAAGACTTGACAAATAAGCCAGGAATGCCTTGTAGCCAGGGGCTTGCTGATTATTATGTTTTTGTCTTCTAAAACTTGCTGTCTGATGGCAGAAATGTTTTCAGGACTTCTCTTTATTCCAGTGGCATTTGTGGAGAAATGCTGGCCGTTCCTTTGCTGTGTAGAGTGTAGCCTCTTGTTGCTGCCCCACCTGGCCCTATGTGCCTACTCAGAAAGGGCAGCCTGTCTGGCCTGGGTGGATGTGGGTTGGGGGACTTGAGCGTCCACACTGCCGTGCCCAGTTCTGGTGCTGATGCTGTCCCTCCTCCTTTTCCAGTCCACGCCTTCTCCGTCGGCAGACCTCCTGGGCCTGGGGGCCACCCCCCCTGCCCCTGCGGCACCACCGCCCTCCTCTGGCGGGCTGCTGGTGGATGTGTTCTCAGACTCGGCTTCCTCGGTGGCACCTCTTGCTCCCGGCTCTGAAGACAACTTTGCCAGGTAGCCAGGTTCCTGCACCAAATATGGGAAGTATAGACAGGGTCGGCTGGGCAGCGGGCAGCATGACCACCCGGTTGCTACTTGGGAGAGAGGTGTAAGCCAATTTCTGTGTTCAGTCCCCCAACACCCCTGCTGGTGCTGTGCCTGCTACAAGGTCAGCAGGTCTGCGTCCCAGGGTGGGCAGCGGAGCTGCAGGTCTGGTGCTTCTGGGCATTTAGTACACACTCTGGCTGCTGCTCTCCGCTGCACCCTGCTCTCTAACCTGTCACTGTTCCTTGTCAGCCTTGTGGATAAATGCCATTTCTTTTTTAAGGACTCATTCACTTTTGAGTTAGTGGTGGCCTGCCTGCGCTCTGCCTGCACCCTGCCTGGCCTGGCCCGGAGGTGTGAGTTCTTCCTGCAGCTCTGCAGGTGTCTGGGGCCTCCTGACCCTGCTGCAGTGCGTATTGGCTCCGGCCTTTGTTCCCTGTCTTCTCCCATTTTCAAAATGTGGATGTCAAACTGTTCTTCCCAGCACTTGTTCTCTTTCTTCCATCTTAGGACTGAATCTGCTTTTATTGATGGATTAAGTTCCTTATAATCGAAATTTACTTACTAATTGGTACCAGGGATTGAACCCAGGGGTGCTTTGCCACTGCCATATCCCTAATCATCTCACTTCCATCCTTCCTTTCCTTTTTTTGAAGTACTGGGGTTGAACCTAGGCCTTGCACATGCTGGGAAAGCGCTCTACCACTGTGCCACGTCCCCAGCCCGTTTTGTTTTTTGAAACAGTTCTTGCTAACTTGCCCTGGGAGGACTGGAACTGGCGATCCTCCTGCCTCAGCCTCCTGAGGTGCTGGGATTTAGGCTGCACCACTGTGCCAGGCCTGCTTGTGTCTAGATCTGTGGACGTGATGGGCCCTCACTTCCACCCTGCAGAGTGGCAGCATGTCCTGGGTGCAGATTAGAAAACCTTAATGCAATGGTTCTTTGTCCCCCCATTTTGAAGATGGTAGTAGAAGTCCTGTGGGCTTTCCTCCCATTAATTATTATTATTTTTTTAACTTTGTTTTTGATTTTTATGTGGTGCTGAGTAGTGAACCTAGTACCTCATTTATGTGCTAGGCAAGCACTTTACCACTGAGCCACAACCCCAGCCCATCCTCCTGTTTATTATTTAAGTGTTTTATTTTGTCAATATCACAACACTGTTGGCTTGTAATCTTGAAGTCTAGAAAAATTTCTTGGTTCCTTATAATCGAAATGTTGAGTCCAAAATTTCCCCCACTTTAGCTTTGGACAGTCAACTTTTAAAATTTTGTGGTGTTGCATGTGTTGCGGTTTCTGTGGTCATCCTGCAGACTGATTCTCGTTCCTTAGAGAAGGCCCAAGCAGACTTCTCATTCACAGAGTGCCAGTCTCAATTCGAGAGCGCCCAGTGGACCCAGGCTCCAAGGTGCTTGTGGCCAAAGGAGCTGTATGTCCTGGAGCAGGGCTTATAATCTGGACATCCTCCGAGGGCAGTGGCTCCATCTAGCGAGCCACCCCAGGCTTGTTGTATTGTCACCTCACAAGGCTTTGAGCACTTGCCAGGGACTGGGCCAAAGGCCTATTTTGCTGCTCTGTGGGACTCAGGGCATTTCTAAATTGTAACCCTCTGAGCAACTGGGTGCAGCTCTCCCTGGTGTCCTGTTGGAGATGGAGTGGTGGAAGAGGGGAGGGCCTTGAGGCATCCTGTATGTGCCTCTGGAGCCCACTGTCCCTTTGAGGCTACACTCCAGGTCCATGTACCCTTGTTCTTACCTCCCGCTGCCCTGCTGGTCTGGCCTTGTGTGCATGCTTCCTAGGAAATGTGGCCAGGCCCCGTTTCCTTGGGCTCCAGGGTGTTGGTTCTGGCTTGGATGTTGACAGAGGGTCGTCATGTGGTGTGTGTCTTGGGCAGTGTGGAGGATTTGTGCTCTGGCTCTCACAGGGCTGGGCCACTGGGGCACCGTCAGTGCAGGGAGGCTGTGGCCTCCTGGCGTGGCCTTTGTTCATTGCACGTTCCTCAGGGATCAGGTGCAGTTGAGATTGGCCACATAAACATCTGTTGTATGCTGGGGATAGTAGATGGATACCCTTTCTGTATCCCAGACAGATTTCAATTTAAGGTATTTTAGTCCAAATCAAGTGTGACCTCCCATGGCCCCTTATTGGTATGGGCCCTTCTATGGCTGAGTTGCAGTGCGGCAGCCCCATGGTGCCTGTGCTCGGAGCCCCAGGCTTTGAGCCCTCTCTTGATGGGGACAGTCTCATTTGTGAGGAGCTCAGCACATACTTTCTGGTGTTTTGGAAGACTGTCCTGCCTGTCCATTGGCGATTTGACTTTGTGGCACTTGTTGGTGGCCAGAGCTGGGCAGTCTGTCAGGCTGTGGCCTGAAGGACTTGGAAGAGCCTTCAGGAGCTGGGTCTGCAGAGGGATGTCCATGGGCCTGCTGCCTGGCCAGCTCCTGGAAACAGGGCCTGGAGCAGAGCTGGTAGAGCCCTCTTAGGTCACAGTGTGCCAACCCAGTGCCTGTGAGGAATCTGCCCAAGTGGCTCAGGTAGGTGGCCACAGAATTCAGGAAGATGATGAGTGCAGGGTTGGTGCGGGTAGGCAAGGAGATTGCCCAGTGGGCTGCCACTGTGAGCATGGAGGGGCTGTAGCTGTGCCTTCTGCACACTGCCCAGCCCCCAGCTTGCCCCAGGCCTCATCCCTGAGTACGGGCAGTGGTGCCCTCTTCCCTGGAACACAAGGAGATGATGGCTGCTGCCTGCTCTCCGTCTCTGGCAGCCACTGTGAGTGGTCTTAGGAGTGGTCCCTACGCTGTCTTCCTGTCCCCACCAGTTATCTAAGCCTTGGTGGACTTTAAGCCCTTTTTGAAAAAAGTTCCCTTGCAGTAAGTGGCTTTGAGTGACACCGTACTATTCCTTTTCTCCTAGGTTTGTTTGTAAAAATAATGGTGTGTTGTTTGAAAACCAACTTCTTCAAATTGGACTTAAGTCTGAATTTCGGCAGAATTTAGGTACGTGTTTTAAATGTTTAATAAAATCTCCCTTTGAAAACCATGGGAAACAAGAAGTGCTACAGGTGGCCCTGACGAGGACCTCATGTCCAGAACATGCAGGGGTCCTTTGCACACCTCCCCCTTAGGGGTAGCTCCGTTTAGAGGCAGCAGATGACCAGGGCAATCATTTCTCCAGAGGAAAGGAGCATAGGGCCACCCGGCATGCATGATGCTCCCCCATCAGGCTGCAGACACAGCCATAGCATGGGGAGCTGCAGCTCTCACCACCTCACACACAGGCAGAGCATGTGGAGAGAAGGGAGCCTTGGGCAGTTGCTAGGTGTAATCTGGGGTGGCCGCTGTGGATGAGAGCAGGGCTGCCCCTCAGCAAGGTAGAGATGATCATGGGCATGATCCAGCAGCCTGCTTCTGGGTGTAGACCCAAAGAGTCAAAGCGGGGTCTGGAAGAGGTGTCGTGGACACATGTTCGTGGCTGCGCGTCATTTACAGTAACTCGGAGGAGATAGCCCGAGTGTTCAAGGTGGGTGGTGGAGAGGTGTGTACTGTGGGGTACTGTTCACCTTTGCACAGAGGACAGTGTGACACCTGCTGCACGTGGAGGAACCCTGTGGACACGAGGCTTAGTGAAGCACCAGTCATACCATGAAGCGCACTGCATGATCCCAGTCACATGGGGTGCCTGGGCAGGGCAGGGGCTGGAGGGCAGGGAACAGTGTTTGATGGGCAGGTTCCAGTCTGGGAGTATTCCAGTAGAGAGAGCCCTGGGGGTGGAGATGGTGACATCTGCACAGCAGTGTGAACATGCTCAGTGTCCTGGACTGCACACTTCAAACTTGACTGAATGGTTTATTGTGGGTTTTGAGTCACTTACCAATTTATTTTTTAATATATATATATATATATATATAATTTTTGTAGTTGGGACATAATACCTATTTTTTATTCATTTATTTTTATGTGGTGCTGAGGATTGAACCCAGGGCCTCACACGTGCTAGGTGAGCGCTCTACCACTGAGCCACAACCCCAGCCCCCACTTACCAATTTTTATATGGAAAAAGAAAAGTTTTGAGTCTAAAAAGAAAACATATACCCATCAAAAATCTATGGGGCTGCTGAAGTGGCCCCTATGGGATGTGCTGTCCCACCTCCCACCCAGGGAGCCTCGCGAGCAGGAGTGTAGGGAGGAAGGGAAACATGCCTCTCCTGCTGGTCCTGGTGGGGGCGGGCAGGGCTCTGCAGGTGCTGTGGTGAGCAGGTCTCCTGCTCCTGTGACCAAGGTCCTAGCCTCTGGCTATGATGACTCTGCCTGGCCTTGATGTACTTTTTGGTTTGTGCAGGGGTGACACCTGCCGGATTGCGCTCGACTAAAACACTCAGGGTCACTCCAGGGGAACTGGGCTGTGCGAAATAACCACACGAGACAGAAATACCTTTTTCTTTTGGGGGTGCTGTGATGGCTCTTCTGACCTTAAGGGTCTGCAGAGAGAGAGCGCACGTGCTCACGCTTTTTACTGAGGAGAAGCCATTCATATGAGGCAAGGGGTCAGGTTTCAAGGGGCTGAGTCTAGCTTCATGATGTCTGTTGTCAGCAAGTTGACTGATATCTAGGAAGGCCACACCCAAGGACAGAGTAAGAGGACACACAAAGGGTGTTTCCATGGAACATTCTATCCCAAACAGGGCAAGGGGTAAAATTACAAAGGAACAGGTGAGCATAGCTCCACCCATGGGGATGTAGGAAGGCATGTCCATGCACAAAGACATAGTTGCTTGCGCCCTAAAGATCAGGGCTACTGTCTGGGTTACCTAGGCAACCAGATCACAGAGTGACAGACGATGCCACAGCAATCTAGAAGAGGAGACAAATGCGGTCATGTGCTAGTTGGCCTCCCACAGACAGCAAAGTACTTGTCTTCTCAGAACCTTTGGGGCTTACATTCCTTTCTGAACTGAACGGGTGGAAATCCCCCTGAGACCTCTGGGAGGGTGCTGGTGCTCTAGTTGGTTGGCACAGAACAGCAGCTGACTGACTGGCATGGTGGTCTGTGGTGGGGCAGGCTCAGTGTGCATGTTTGAAGGACAGTCCCTACATGGCCAGCACTGGCTCTGGGCCATCCAGTGGGTCCAGATCCAGCCAGGCCATCCCAGAGGGGCTAAGCGGGGTCTGAATGCTGCTGGGCTGTTGTGACCGGGACCCTGCACAGGGCCCTGCAGCACTGCTGGTGTGAGTGGTGCCTCCCAGCCTGGCCCCCTGGGCCCTCCCTGCACAGGTGTGCGGGAGCTGTCAGATGACCCAGACATGCTGCTGAGGGGTGGAGAGCAGTGCGGCTTCTGGCTTTGGCATGCCATCATTTTTGTTTCTTGGTATCAAGAATTGAACCCAGGGATGTTTTACTACTGAGCCACGTCCACAGTCCTTTTAATTTTTTGAGATGGGGTCTCCTTAAGTGACAGAGGTCCCCCCCCCCACCTCCCACTTCCACCTGGCTGGCCTTGAGCTTATGATCCTCTTGCCTCAGCCTCCCCAGTCACTGGGGGTACAAACCTGTGCCACTGTGCCTGGCTACATGCCCTTTAAAATCAGTGAAAACGTTAATTTTAGCAATAGCTTTTGTCATGGCAGTTAGCTTTGATTCAGCCGGGGCTTACAGGGGCCCTTGGTTTTCACTGTAAATATGCAGACCAAGTGTGCGACTCAGTTGTTTTTGTTTTCTAGGCCGGATGTTCATATTTTATGGTAACAAGACTTCCACGCAGTTCTTGAACTTCACTCCAACTCTCATCTGTGCAGATGACCTGCAGTCTAATATCCTCGGTACAACCTGGGCCTCAGACACTGACAGACAGGTGGCCATCTAGGGTTTAGCTGGACCTTGGAGGAATTTGCTTTTGGTCATGATAGCAAGGTGTTTCCAGGTAGGCAGGCCGGTGGCCCCTGCAGGGTGGCCTCTGGTGTGCCTCAGACAGTGCGCCTGTCCGCCCCCCATCTGCTGCCTTTCCTGGCTCGTTCTGTCCTCTGGAGTCATTGGTGAGTCCCCACTGAGTGGTGCTCCTTGCCCTACGAGGCCTGCAGCTGGCCTGTTTCTACTGAGAGCAGGGTGTGTGGGGAGTTGCCACTCAGGGACAGGTCTACAGTCTGAACAGGGTGCACGGGGCACCTCCCTGGGGGACCCGGTCAGATGGGTGGAACTGAGCTCCTCTCCACCTGAGATCTACATGTGTTTTTAGAGAGATACTAACACACACTCTTGAAACTGTTCCAGAATAGATATTAAACACACAGATGCAGAGTCTGCTGCACTGAGTCTTTGTCCAAGATCAGGAGTGAAGGCTCACACCTGCATGTCCCTCCCTAGGGCCTGCTGCGCTCTGAGGGGCCATGGGGTGGTCCTGAGCCTGAAAGCCCAGTGGCCAGTGGGCTCAGGGTCCAGGGGGAAGGAGAGGCCTTCGTTCCTCCTCCAGACCCAGCTGGGTTGTGTGGGTGGCTTCTCGAGGGGCTTGCAGCACAGTAGCACCTGCTTGCTGACTGCACAGAGCTGCCCCAGGTGGTACAGTCACCTTACTAAGCCATGGGCACTGGCTTTTGCTGAGGGCAGCGGAACCACATGGTAGGATGAGCAGAGCAGTCAGTGGTCCTTTCCAGTGGCCTTGCAAGAGAAGGGAGTGGGCAGATGCACAGCAGCCCTGGGCACTTGGGCTTGCTGTCCAGTCGCAGGCAGAAGGGCAGGTCTCGTGATGCTCCTGGCTTGAGCTCTGCAGTGTGGTGGGCATGCGCTACTTCCTGTCTGCCATATGCTTTTCAAATAGCTGAGGGTTAGAGATTAGGCTCTCAGTTATCTTACCAGTATCATCTGTATTCATCTATTTGCAAGCACTGACAAGTCACACAGCAGTGACCACAGGTCACTACTAGGAAAAAGTGGGTAACACCACACATGGAGTTCTGCCCTTAGGCTGCTTACTCTCGCACCCATCATCATCCCTTGAAATTTTTTATTTCCTGTAAGGGTAAGGGATCAGGGGTTTGCCCAGTGGGGCCCACTCTTCCAGACCTGTCTGAACTCCTTAACCTGCCTGCTCACATCTGAACCTGCAGACCAAGCCTGTGGACCCAACTGTAGATGGAGGCGCACAGGTGCAGCAGGTGGTTAACATAGAGTGCGTGTCTGACTTCACAGAGGCACCTGTCCTCAACATTCAGTTCAGGTAGGAGTGAGCGTGGGCACCTGCCCATGTGCTGGGAGCACCCCCCCCCCCCACGGGGGACACCCAGTCACCTGAGCTTTCCAGAGTATAGGAAGCTAGCCGTGAGTGCACCGTGTACCACAGTGTCCTGAAGTCCCGAGTGCTGCTCTGTGGCCAGTCTGCAGTAGCTGACAGCTGGGCCCTGGGCACTGACTGCTGGGAAAGACAGCTGCAGAGGAGACGCTGGTGGCTCTCCAGACCCAGGCAGGGCTTCTTGTGCAGCTGCATGCAGACCCATCCTCTTGCAAGTACTACTGTGGAGTACCTGTGATTGTGGGTTCCCTGTAGGCCCGAGGCCAGTGTGTTTGGAGAAGCACGTTTTCAAATTCTAGAAACAGTACTTACGCAAATGCTTCTCTTCAGTCTTTCTGTGGGGAGATATCCCACCCTGACCACAGACACTGGTGCTCTGGAGGCAGATGAGAGGCAAGGGTGAGTGCTGGAGGCTGTCCTGCCAGCCCTGAGAAGGGCCGGTCCTCCCAACTCTGCTCCAGGCAGTGCGTGGCCCTGGCCTCACTTGTGCCAGCTGCCTCAGCAGGTGTATGGAGGGTTGGCTTGGCTCCTGCAGGAGCACTGTCCACCCTGCTGCTGGGGTGGCCTGGGTGGCTTCCCAAGCCCCAAGGCTGTGCAGCCAGGAACCCCGTCCCTTCCCTCTTGTCAACACGTCTGCCTATAGGTATGGTGGCACCTTCCAGAATGTGTCTGTCAAGCTACCCATCACGCTCAACAAATTTTTCCAGCCCACAGAAATGGCTTCTCAGGATTTCTTTCAACGTTGGAAGCAGTTGAGCAAGTGAGAGGGCTGTGCTTGGGGGTGGGGAGAGGATCAGGGGTCATTCAGTGGGTGGTCTGTTAGCCTCCAGTGTGTCTGCTAGCTCTGACAGCCCTCCGTGCCCTTCCTCAGCCCACAACAAGAGGTGCAGAACATTTTCAAAGCAAAGCATCCGATGGACACAGAAATCACGAAAGCAAAGGTAAAAGGCTGTGGGTGGTGTCCCCAAGGCAGACACCATGGCCGGTGCCTTTCCTGACCCCTTCCTCCTTTTGGACAGATCATTGGATTTGGTTCTGCACTCCTCGAGGAAGTTGATCCCAATCCTGCAAATTTTGTGGGTGCTGGCATCATACATACCAGAAACACCCAGATCGGGTGCCTGCTGCGCTTGGAGCCCAATCTGCAAGCCCAGGTCAGGACTCCCGTGGGGGCGAGTGGAGACCTCGTGTGCCTGCGCCTGTCAGTGTGCATAGGCTTCCCGCCTCTCCATGGGCCCTGGCATGTGGGGCCCCATGCAAGTTCCGTGTTGCAGTTCAATCAGTGGTGCTTCCTCTTAGTCCTGAGCAGTGTCCTTCTGGCCGAGGGGCCCCAGTCTCTGTGTCCAGTTCTGCCGGGCGCACCTCTTGTCACTTCATGGGTGATCCCTGGAGAGCAGCTGCCCTTGGGAGGTGGAGGCCCACTGAGAGGAGCTGCTGGCTGCCCCTCGGGCTGCGTGGCTGCTGTCTGTTGGCAGAGCCTGTGTCTGCTGCCTCGAGCTGCGCGGGGCTTTGGTGTGCTGCTGACCTCTGTCTCTGTTTCAGATGTACCGGCTCACGCTGCGCACCAGCAAAGACACCGTCTCACAGAGGCTGTGTGAGCTGCTGTCAGAGCAGTTTTAATCCACGGGCAGAAGATCTGGCTCGTATCTGTGCGTCTCTCCTCGTCTCTGCCATTTGTCTTCGTCACCATATGCAAACAAAACCCCATGTCTGAACATCACAGCACAAGGTGCCTCCAGGCCCGGCCCCTGGTCATCGCGGGACAGCGGGCACTGTTGGAGGAGGACTGCAGTGGGCCTGCCCCAGCAGGAGGGCCTCGGGCCCTGGGAATCAAGACAGCCCTGTGGTTCAGCCTACAAATTAAAGGGAAATAAGAAGTTTGAGTGGAAGTGGGGATTGTGTTGAGGTTTTGTCTGAGTGCCGCTGTTCTGTTGCAGACCTTCTCAGATTTTGGAGCAGTTGCACTGCTGTGCTTACAGGGCTACCCTGGGACTACCTGGCTGTGCTGGCGTGACCCACTCTGCGAGAGGAGTGTGGCTAACCCTGCAGGCTGGGCACTGTTTGCACGAGGCTTGCTGAGGCACTGTCAGACGATTCCTGGGCGGGGTTGTAATTCAGGAGCTGGAAGCATCTGTTTTGATGACTGTTGGCCAAACCAGGCACCTGCTGTCCTCAGCCAGCCCTGTCCACAGCACCGGTGTTCTTGAAGGGACTTCTGTGATGTGTTCTGTAGGACACCTTAGATTTGCACTTGGTGGGTGGAGGGATCCTGATGGCTGTGCAGGGTGTGACCATGGCTCATCTTGCAAGACTCTGCAGGGTGTGCCTGTCCTTCCTGCTGGTGGCCTTCACCTGTCAAGTGCACATTCCTAGGGCCTCAGTTGAGGCCGAGCGCTACAGACTGCACCTGTCCAGTCCTTGCTGGATGTGGGGGTGGAGGAGATAAAACTGGGGAGGACAACGGCCCTGGATGTTGCTGTGCTGAGGGAGCGCCAGGTCTGCTGGCCACATGTCCCCAGCCCTCACAGGTGTCCCTGCACATGCTTGCAAGGTAGGATGTGGATGGGGCAGAGAGGCCTGGGGAGCCCAGGCAGGTGTAGGTGTGCCCTGCGGTGGCTCCTAGGGTCAGCACGCAGGGGACAGGCAGGTTTGTCTGAGCACACTTGAGCCCAGAGCACCTGAGGAGACACAGGAAAGGCGGGACCCACTGTCACTCCCTTGATGTCCAGACACTGGGTATGGCAATGGCCCTTAGGCTCAGTTTCTGGCCATCATCCTGCCATCCTGGGTCTTAGGGACAGCTGCAGGGTAGTCTTCAGAGTACCCAGCTCCTCCTGTGTTGGTCTTGGTGTGTGTGTGCCCCAAAGCTCCTGGTCTGCCTGAGATATGCCCCGGCCTCAGATGGGCTTTGCTGCAGGTGATGGCCTGGCTGGCCAGGGTGAACCTCTGCATCCTCTTATTCCAGCTGCTGGACAGAGTGACAGTCCTTGATGTGCAGTCCACACATTGCATGTGGACCGCAGGTCCCATGACCATGGCTCCTGTGCATGGGCAGCCAGGTAGTGGTCTCTGGGCAACAAGTCTCCCTGGCATAGGAAGGGCTGCTGAGGCACAGGCCTGCCCTCTGTGCTGTCCCAGGGGTGTCCATCTGTGCATTGTGCTCCTTTTCAAAGAAAAATAAACGCTAGTACAGTTGGATGCGTGTGTTGTCTTTCGGGCAGTGTCCTGTGGGCATTGTGGGTGCTGGTACCAAGGACCTGGAGTACCATCTGCCTGTGCAACCTGTCCTTCAGCTTTAGGACAGTCTCTCTGGGCCTGGGCAGTGCTGGACAGTACCTCACAACACCACAAAGCACCTTTGCTCTGATGGCATGGCTCTGGGTATGGCCAGGTCTGCCTAGGCTCCCTGCTTCAGTGGATGCTGGGCTGTGGCTCCTTGGAGGTCCTGGCCTTGGAGGTCTCTGGTCTAAGTGCACAGGAGGGATGGGCCCAAGGGTTCTTTCCTGCTGAGCCGGCTGTGGGGTGAGGTTGCCCCTGCCAGGGATCCTATAGCCCGGCAGGGATGGTGCTAGAGGGACCCAGAGGGTGGTAGCCTCACCAGGGGCTTGCGCACAGTTTTGGGTGGGGGCACGGCCAGTGGTGGTGGCCTTTCCTCTCCAAGCCCCACCTGGCGGCAGCCCCACCCAGCCCCAGTCCTGTGCCCACCGTGTAGGTTCACCCAGGGAAAGAGGCCTGAGTGAGTTGAGGATGGCACAGTGGCGCTCAGGGATCAGCCTCTGCCTGGACAAGATCCAGTTTATTTGGAATCAACTCGGTGGTGGGTGACAGCCTCCTCTGAGGATGTGGGTTCTGGCGGCAGCCATCTTGCACAGCTGGGTGCCACTGTGTTGCACCTGCCTGTCACCCTGACTGGGGATATCCCTCTCTGCTGTATTTCGTGCTTACCTGGCCTTTCGTCCTCCTTGTCCTTGTCCAGGTACCCACACCCGCCATGTCCCCATTCTGATCAGCCCACATGTACCCCCAGCAGCCCTGCTGGAGCAGCCTCCTCCCTGGCATCTGCTCCTGGGTTGTTTTCTCTGCAAGATTCTGCCACCAAAGGCTGGGAGGCTGTGTGCATGGCAGACGCTGTGGTCAGCACGTGCCCATGTCACACCCACACTTTGGGTTGGGTCAGCAGGAGGTGGATGGTCAGGGCTCCTTCCCAACAGCTTCTTCCCTGCAGTGGCCTCAGGTGAGCCACCTCTGAAGGCTCGTGGAGTCCAGATCTATGTCCAGGAAAGAGGCTGCTGGACAAATCCAGAGGAGGAGTGTGGTGGCATCTGTCTCGTTCTTGACCTGCGGCCTTTTGTGCATGGGAGACCAGGCAGCTCCTCTAGTCTTTGCAGTGTGAGAGTTTGCACACACAGCTGCTGAACACCTGCAAGGTGAGCTTGAGCTGCTGGCCTGGTGCGTTGGGGTCTGGACAGGGCAGTAGGAGCTGTTTCTTGTAGGAGTTGAGCGGGTAGCAGCAGCTACACTGAGCCTCCACCTGCTGGGTGGTGATGTTGAAGCTGCCAAGAAGCAGACAAGCAGAGGGTCAGGGCAGCACCTCTCCCCTGAGGAGCAGCAGGACCCCAAGCCGTTTGCAGGCCAGACCTTTAAGAGTCTTCCCTTTCCTGCTGACTCCTGCACACAGGCACAAGGCAAGTTCGACTTTGGGCATGGAGCAGGCTGCCTGGACCCCATGGACTGGGACAAGGCAGCACTGCGAGGACCCGACAGCCTGGCAACTTGCTGTGGGTCTTGACCCAGCCAGGAAGGTTGGCTCCCAGGGGCTCACCTGACGGAAGAAGCACAAGCACCCTCGCAGCGGGTCAGGGTCACGTTTGCTGTGCACCCCTGGTAGGTGATTTCCTGTTCATGTTCCTGCACACTGCAGGCTCCTGGGGGCCAAGAGGCAAGAGTTAAGTGGACAGTGAGATGAATGCTCACACCAGAGCAGGGCCACTGAGCTGAGAGCACAGCTGCATAAGCAGACTGGTTTTTGGAGAAGCTTGGAGAAGCCTGAAGACTTAGAGGCCCCACTGTGGCCCCCACAGCTCAGACCAGGCTCTGTAGGGGGACAAAGGCTGGCAGCCTCGCATTCCTGGCTTTTCTGAAGGACCTGGCAGTGAGCTGGGCCCCAGAGGGACCTAAGTGAGACCCAGCTCTCACCACCTCCCTTCCTATGCCCCAGACACGGCCTGTGGCCATAGGTGTCTCGGGACCTGCTGAGGGCCAAGGAGAGTGTTTCAGAGTCTCCAAAAGGGGACTCCCCACACCAGGACTGGGGGAGGGGAAGCAGAGCAGGCCCCTTGGTCTGGGTTTCTAGGAGGGGTGTGGTGTGAGGACCAGGACACCTGGTCAGATGGTGGTGATGCTGCAGCACAGCCCAGGGTGCGCTGGTATAGGGGACAGGCATACTAACACATTAAAAAAAAAAAAGTTTCTGGCAGACTGGATGTTCTGCCCCGTGTTTCCCTCACCTCCACCAAATTGGTTCTGTCACCCACCACACCCAGCTTCTCCTGCACCAGCTGAGGAAGGAGGGGCTCACGGCCCAGTTTGCTGAGCCCCAGCGGCCTACTCCTATTCCTCTGTTCTGCTTCCTGATGCTACTTCCACGGGGAAGAGCCTGTGCCCAAGTCCTTATCTCACATGGTGAGAAGCCCTCATGCACAGCAGAATGTGAAGCTCAGAGTTGGCAAGAAGGAACTGCTGGGGGACGACGTGCCAGGGCAGCCTGGCTCCAAGAACATGTTCAACAGGGGGAATACTTCCAGAATACAAGGTGGACGTGGATAGCTCTTGCTGCATGGCATGGCCCGTGCTTGCTCTACGGGGAACCCTGGCACTTCGTGGGCAGGAGGGCAGCTGGAAGCAGCAGCTCACAGAGAGTGCCTCCATTACACGGCAGCCCTGGTCTCCAGGCCCACTCAGCCTCCCGCAGGTCAGGGAGGTGCATACTTGCAGTGGACTTTGCTTTCCTCTCTAACTCAAGGAGGTCATGTTCCTTGAGCTCAGGGAACCCTGCTATTTCACACCCTCTGAGCTTCCCAAGAGTCAACTGTGGAAGGCTGCTTGGGGAGGTATGTCAGCCTGAAAAGAGAGGTCAAGACTGCAGAGGGACATGCAGCAGAGGCCCGGGGTGTGAAAAATGCCTCTGATGCTGGTACGAGACATGGGCAAGGAAGCACCAGTTTCATCCAGAATGGCGATAGCCCAGGGGGTGCTCAGGAGAGGAGAAAAGAATGGGGCTTGGGACAGGCACAAGGGCAGTGGGCAGCATGGAGGAATGGCGGGATGAGGGAAGGCAGTGTGCACGAGGGGCAGCACAGCGCTGTTGGGAGAAGAGGCAGGCCTGGAATGCAGCCCTGAGCCAATGGGGGCCACAGAGATGCACTTACCATGAGAGGAGGCTGAGGGGGCCACCCAGGAGGGGGTGGCTGGGGGGAAGGTAGAGGAGCTTCTGTGCGAGGTTATGTAGCTGGACAGGAGCATGGACGTCAGCAGCCTGGAGGTACCAGGAGGACTGCTGGTCAGGTTGGTAGTAGGAGAAACTGTTGAGCTTGTCATCCCCAAGGTCGAAGACACAAGGCCTGGCATGGAGGCTTGGGTGGTAAGAGAAGTAAGCTGGGAGGTGGTGGACTGTGAGAAGGCAGAGGAAGGGGAGGCACTGGGTGTAATCCTGGACGTGGAAGGGAAGCCTGGGCTGGAGTTTGGCACCTGAGCTGGGGTGGCAGATGTGTGGACAGCTGGCAGGGTGGGCAGAGCAGAGTCAGGGGAAGAGGAGGTTAAAAGAGGTAAAAGGGAAGTGTTAATAGGACTGGAGGTTGGCGTGGGGAGGACAGAGACAGAAGGAGAAGGGAAATGGGACCCACTCGTGGACGCAGTGGGAAACGGAGCAGGAGGGATGGAACTGCTGGTAGGTGCATACAGTGGGGGAGCAGTGGGGGAGGCTGAAGGGATGGAGGTGGACGAGGTGGTAAGAGGAGATCTCGGTGTCGACAAGGCAGAAATGGGAGCGGAAAAGGTTTGAGAAGAAGTAGGCAGGGAGGATGTGGATGAGGCCCTGGGCAAAGGTGTGGAAGAACGTGTAGTCTCTACAGAAACAGGCCTGGTGAAAAGACTATGGAGTGCAGATGGTGAGGCTGCGGGGGACAGAGCAGAACTGGAGGAAGAAATGGAGGACAAGGGAGAAGAAGAGCTCCGCAAATGAGACGACGTGCTGGCAGTGTGGAAAGACCAGCGGGCCTGGGTGGAGGCCCAGGTAGACGTGGTGATCAGTGGTGAAGTGCCTCTGGGTCCAGTAGGCTTGACAGCTGTGGTTGAAAGACTGGTGTCCATTGGCCTTGGGATGGAGGTGCTCCATAACAGCTCTGGGCTGGACGGGCTGGTAAGGCTCGGAGAAGTTGGTGCAAGAGAGATAGTGGACAACGTGGTACCCAGAGAGGTAACTGAGGACTTGTGGCCAGTTGAAGTTGGATATGCACTGGTGGTCTGGAGGGACGTTCCAGAGACGGGCACAGAATGCTGGAGAGTGGTGGAGGCAGATGCCGTGTATGGAGACTGAGAGGTCCCTAAGGGGTGTGTACTAGTATGAGTGGCAGAGGAGGTGTGGGCCATAGGACTTCGAGATTGTCTGTTGGTGGGTGTGGTTACGATGTTGGTGGAGAGGGGTGAGGTGGATTGAATGTATGGCGAGGAGGAAAGGTGTGACAAGGAGGAATCAGAGGTTGTAAAAGTGACAACTGAACTGCGGGCTTGTGTGGAGACCGTGGAAGATGTGGTCATCTGCGCTGCACTGCTTGTGGGTCCAGTGGACTGGAAGGCTGTAGTTGAAAGACTGGAGCCCATTAACCTTGGGGAGGAAGTGCTCCATAACAGTTCAGGGCTGGTGGGCCGGTGAGAAGGTGATGTGAGAGGGGTAGTGGAGAGTGTGGAAAGCAGAGACGTAGGTGAGGTCTGGGGCCCAGTGGGAGTCGGGAATGTGCTGCTGGTCTTGAGGGACGTTCCCGTGAGGTGGATGGAAGGGCGGACCGTGGTGGAGGCAGACATGGTGTAGAAGGAGTGAGAGGTGGATGGGATTTGTTGAGTGCTGAGAATTGTCCCGGAGGTGAGTGCCATTGCGCTCATGGTTTGCTTGATGCTTGTGGCAGGAGGTAAAGTGCTTTTCAAGTAAGTAGTGGTTGATGGGAAGGAGAGAGGTGCAGTGGAGGATCTGGAAGTGGCGACGGAGAGGTTGGCTCGTGTAGTGGCCCTGGCAGATGTGGTTACCAGTGGTGCAGTGCTTGTGGGTCCAGAGGCCTTGACTGTTGTGGTTGAAAGACCGGAGCCCGTTG